AAAAAAAAAAAAAAAAAAAAAAAAAAAAAAAAAAACGTGGAAAAGGAATTAACGTTCATCCTTTTAGATAGATTTTTTTTCTTTGTCAAACATTTTGAAACGTTTAGTGATTAATGTGAATATGAATCTAAAGTTTCAAATACTCAGCATTTCAAAACGATAATAACTAAAATGAATTTACAAAATAATTATTTTTATTATTTTATTATTATTGTTTTACATTTATGTTTTTCTGTATCATCTGAATCTCACAGTTTCAAGCAAGTAAAAGTGATTCAGGATTAGAACAATCTTAGGATACTGTCTAACTTGTAAAAAATATTTTATTAAGTACAAACTTCTTATTTCTTAGAATTATTAAATTATTCTCGATTTTATAAGGAAAATAACCACCGAAAATTTTCATTTTCGTAAACCAACAACGAGTTATTTCTGGTCGTCCATCTGTCAGCATGAAAATACCGCAAATTTCTCGTTCTCAGGGGAGTTTCTGTCGCAGTAAAGAAAACAAACTTTGTATTTTCGTATCGTGCGCAAGCACTGTAATCTACTGTGCGTAAAATTCAACAACAATTTGACAATATACTGGTTCGTTTATTTTCAGAAAATTTGAACGTACGATTTATCACTTTAAAATCTTTGAAAAGACGCAGGCATTCGACGAACAACAGAATTGAATGAAAATAAAATGAAAGAATTCGGGTATAGAAATACGATTCGCGAAATTCGACGATCTCTCTTTACTCTATTTCCAAACAAATTGAAATGAAATATTTTCGGTAGCGGATATCGTATGTAAAAATATTTGCCTGTACGGAAAGTATTAAATTTACTTTCTCACTCTGGGAAATATTTTCGTTTAATTTTGGTTTCAAGTCTAACCGAAAGCTTGGAAATCTCAAGCTTAACCGACATTAAAAATTGTAAATTTCTTGTTTGATTTTCTCGCTGAAAAGAGTTCACATATCAACAGGAAATACCGAGATACAGGAAATAAGATAAAGCGACTTGGATTTGTTCTTGAAGATATGCAGACGCGTGTATATTTTCTTCCCAAACGTTAAATATAAAAGTGTAAATATTTTTAATATGAAATTACCAATTTAAACAAGATATTTCTGTTATTTCTGAATTTTCAAGAAAAAATGGCAAATGTAAAAATATCCCTAAGACAGAGAATATTCGTTGAAAAGTAAATTATTCGTTTGATCGTCCAACAACATTTAAGACCATTTTCTCTTCAATGATAGTCTAATGCTAATTTGGATGGTGTAATATCCGAGAGAATATTCTGAGAGAGATATATTTCTAAAAAAGATGCTTCACAGCCTGTATCCATTGATTATGTCGTATATCATTAATGTTTCTTGTTTCTTGACATTCGTTTCCTTTTAACTGAGACATCAGCCGATGTATAATGAGAAACACGTGATTCTAACGCTTCTGGCATTCCTCATCATCCAATAATTGACGTTGCTTGTTTATCATTCGATACATGGTCATTCCGTCGATAAAAGTACATCATTAGACACACAACCAATAACAAGAGCTCGGACACGCGACTTGGAAAGAGGAACTATTACAACCATTTTCAAGAAATTCCTCGGAAATTCTATTTATCTGTTCAATTAATTGCACAAAGGATAGAAAAATTCCTTCCGTTTGGTATTTATCGGCGAATTAAGCACTTTGAGGAATTTAGGAAATTCAGAGAATAGTCACTGGATTAGCTATCGTCATTTTATCATCATATTAAACTCGTACGTAAATTTTGTAAAAATGCGAGAAAAGATCGATCATCAGGTTTTTCTTCCCGGCTGACTATCTTTTCGGGCAAATCTATGCTTAGCATCTGCTTTGGAAACGCGGATAAGAAGAAGCTGCAGATGCGGGGCGAAGTTTTTGCGAAGCCGTCCCATTTTCGAGAGAAAATTCGCGCGTCTCGCGGGCAAACGAAAAAATCTGCTCGGAGGAGAAGTAGAAATCCGGCGAACTTTCTCCGGGGGAACTTTTACGAATCGAAAGTTGCCGGCAGCTCTATCCGAAGAAAAGAGCCCGAATACTTTCCTCGAAGTTGGAAGCAGGGATTCCATCCGATACCGCCGCGATTTGTTCCCCCCCTATTGGCCCTGCACTCGTGTCAACCGTGCGCAATTTCCTCTTCCAATCTCCCCTGCCGATAAAATGGACAATTCACTCTTTGAAAGCTTTCGAAAAATCTTCAAATATTAATCTCTCTTTCACGAAATGAATTTTTCAGTCAAGCGAGCTGCTGCGTACGGTAATATTCGAACAATTACACGAATATATTATAATATTTGTATTGTTTTAATAAAAAAATTTTGTCGAACACTGTCCATCTATTAAGAAGCTGAAACATTCACTCTAGCAATTTGAACGATTTAAAGTTCCATCCAAACGATAAATCGGTAAAGCCAAGAGCTTAATTGTTTGCGAGAGTCTATTACAACTGACCAGATTGCATTTACAAATATTTCAGTGTCGTCAGACGGCTACGCTTCGCCGTCAAAATTATTTAATTAACGCCATTAGTTGCAACGGCGCAGACAGCTATGGTATGAATTACATTTCTCGACAGCAGTGTAACAAACGTGTTATGTAATTACATGAGCACGCTTTATCACGAAGCGTTCCCAGATGTTTCACATCGAAATATCAGAAACTTGAATATAATTAAGGAAATTTGGGTTTCCAACGGAATTTCTACTAATTGAAATGATTTGATTGAAGACTGAAATGAATTCATTGAATTCATTAATATTGTTTTAGGCCTTCTGATTAAATTCGTTGCAGAATGTAAATTTCTGTAATTTCATCTGAATTCGAAAAGCATTTCATTCAATGAAGTTCGATTTAAAATTGATATATTTCAGTTTACTTCACTTCCCGATACGTTTCTCATACAAATCATACTCTAATACGTAATCTATATGACAATTCACACGAGTATAAAAAAAATTTTTCACACACTTTGTCATTTCACTTCAAATTTTGCTTCCCAGTCTTGAGCTTTTACAAAATTGTTACCTCGAAATAATAATTTCAATGGCAATTTGCGATAAGATCGTCTTGACGTAGAATATGCAAATTTCTTATATCGTTATTTAAAAATCCTCTCTTTGCTCGTAAGCGTAACCTCAGAAAGTCTGTCTTACGTAACGAGACTCTCAACACGTTGGTTTCCTTAATATTCCGTAATTTATAAAAATACATTACGAAACTCCGAAAAATCAAACTCGAAAGTAATTGAGAAATTTACTTGATCATCACATATACCAGCTGATCGATTGTTTCCGTGCTATAATAAAATTCGTTTGTTGATCATTGTTTTTGTAATTTTCAGTTCTAAACTTCTTAATTAGAATCGTTTTCTAATTGTTCGTCGGCGGTTCTAATTCTATCTAAGAAACTTTCGTTTGCAGATTAACAATTAACAATTAACAATTTTGTCAGAAAATTTAAGCATAAGAAAAAGCAGCAATGGGCGATTCAGAAGATTTTACAATACACGATTACGATCATCACGCTCTTGCAATAAATTTTTAAAACCCAGAGAATCCAGATTTTTTTCCCCCAGTTTTGCAAACATTTCTGGATCTATTCCCTATGAAAAGTAATCCTCACATGTTAGAAATTCCACTGTAGATGAACACAAGCGGAAATATAATGCGCTGATATCGCGTGGCCAATAGAGATAAAGTAAAGAGCGAAACGATTTTGTTTACAGAGGACTGGATTCCTGCGAGCGAGTATCTGGATGAAACGTGCGCTGCACGTAGGCACGGAAATTTATCACAGAAGAGGCATTATCATAGTGATTAGTGGGCACGTTCAAGGCACCGTGACGATAGTTACGAGGAACAGGAGTCACGCTGATAAATTCGGCGTCACGCACCAAAGAATGTCGCTGCTACGCATCGCCGGTACGTATTTGCAAACCATGTCACGTAATTCTCTCGTTTTATCACTTTCCGCTGTCGATCGAATCCTTAATATCCCTCGAACATTTATCGCCACGCGATACCTACTCGCTTATAATAATATTATGTTCGAACGCTTGTAGAAATATTTCGGACGTTCTATTTTAATCATACTTTCAGTGTACTTTCTACGTATTTATAATCCATCGCGGATTGCAACGAAAATTTAATCTTTACTCTTCGTGAGACTTTTTATGAGATGTAAAACAATAGCTACGTAGTAGTCCATTTTTAATATTTATTTATTTATTCGTTCTGGAATATAGAACTACTGAAGAATTTTTTTATGAGGTTACTGTTCGTTCGAAAAAGATCGAGAGACAAAATGGAACGACAATTGTTATATTTATCGACCACGCGTCAAGAACAACACGTGTCAGCATATATCGAACTAAACGAAAAAGTCTGAGATGAGGATACCAAAGATATTTTAAGCATCCTCTTAGCTATAATCCTATTTTAAGACGCGTATTGGTCAGAGAGATCCAAGACGTCCACCAGTGAGACACGTTGCGCAATAATTTTAAGCAAAATTTGACATACTCGTCTAACATGTTCGTCAAATAAAACGAAGCTCAGAAAATTTCAGAAACCGATCGTTTCCCGTTGGATGAAATTTTGACGAAAGAAACCTTGCAGCCGAGCTCGATGAAATTACGCAACCTTGAAAGAGATCTGCCAATTCAAATAAAAGACGATATCGAAGCTAATGCACAATCCAAACACGTTTTACACGATTAACAGTACTCTGCGTGGATTCTGAGAATCCATTCAGACGCATGTTTTACGTGAAATCGAACGTCAATCGCGAACGGTACCTTTGGATCCCGTCTGCATCATCTGAAACACTCATCATTCATATTAAAGAGCGCAAGTCCATTCACCTTTGCCGTTCAAGGAGTTCGTTCACTTCTATATAAACTCTCTGTAGTGGTGAAAAGAGAGAAAAGTTGTTGGTGCAAAATTTTGTTCAACTTTCGAAAGTTCGATCATACGGCTAAGATATGTTTGTAAGCAGGATTGCAAAGATAATTTTTTTAAAAGCTGAAAATGCTAGAATATATCTATCAATGATTAATTTCCACAGAAAATACGGAAAATAACATTCTCGAAAAATTTCAAAAAACTTGTCAACGTCATTAAGTCCACTTTTGTCCAATTTATATTTCTAATTTCCCTCCCTGTAACTTTTGCAAAGCGAAAAAGTGATTCTGACACGCGATTAATTAACGTCGTCGTTCGTCGTAACGATCGTTACGTTTCGTTAATTCGCAGTATTAATTAACGATTAAAAGCCATCGGTCGCTGCGTTTCACTACGTTATTTCTTCCAAAATTATTCCTTCGCGCGGACTGGACGCGTGTGTCAAATCGCGTGACAGTATAATTACAGTGTGACGTCACGTGTACACACGGGGCAACACCTGTTAAACACACGCGCGACAATCACGAACCTTGTGTGTGCTGACTCTGTGCTGGCCTAGTCGAAGGAAAATTGATGGTGGTCGACACCTGACCGACTAGTCGACTTTTAATTCAACGTTGTGGCTCAATAGGATTATACGCTTGCGTCGCGTTAATTGCATTATGGCCATGTGACAGATACGCGTATTGATACCAACAGCTTGCGATTTAGTGAAACTTTCTTTATTGCTTCTAGTTTCACCATTTTTACCATTCTTTAGATTCTTTGCTATTTTTTCGTCGTAAAATTATTCTTTTCAACGATAAAATAATTTCTAATTAAGCAATTTTTAATACGCGGAACTTTGCAAATTGTTGTATTGCTTCGTAAAATTGTAAAATTATCGGAAGGGGGATCTGTAGCTTAGAAAAATGGAAATAACGAAATAGTGAAATTGTGAAATTCATTATCACGGACTGAGTGTTTCAAAATTTTTATTTACTGCAAAGATTATATATTCGTAATAAGTCTGTTTGCTAATATTGTAAATTGGTGAATTATTTTACGAGCTGTCTGTAATCAAGATCTAAGAAATTTCTTCAAAGTCACCGACAATAAAAAGATTCTCGGATTTTCACACGGCGTATCCGCAACCTTCGCGATTCGTTTCGTGTCGCGGACAAGTGTCAAGGAAATTTGCAAGTTCCCGCGGCAATTGGAAAGCCTTCGATGGAATTTCCAATGAAAATGAAGTTAAAAACGGCGGGCCGAATTTGCAATTCAAATTGCAATCGAAGGCGGGAAGAAAAGCTTCCGCGAAACTCTCTCGATTAAAAATTTCTTCTGATTCGCTAATTCCTTGTGTACAACGTTCTCGCTGTATTGAATTTAGCGCGTTTCAAATCGAATCGTATAATTCGCAAACACCGTCTGATATTATTCCTCGCGAACGGGCGTGCCACACTTCGCGCAGTGTTTCAGTTCGCTCTGCTTAATTTCCTCGATATCCAAATCGATCACTTTTATTCGAACGTTCAACGAACCGTTTTTCATCGCTTTGCTCGCCTCTCGGTCGAAGAAACGAAGTTACTGTGCCGTGTGTGCTTTTGTACATTGCTTCAAACGCGCGCTGGTTTCGCGACAATTGTAATGCACGTCCGTTATCCAATAGTATTATCTGTGTGTTGTTTCTGACGTTTCACGCTCGTTTCGTTACGGCGATATTTATTTCAATAACATTCTCTGTCGAAGGCTAACGTCATTTCTACGTCAGCTGTCGCGAGAAAAATTTATCTTAATAATACGTGGCGTGATTTATGCTACGGGGAAAGCTATGAAGAATAAAAATGAAAAGGACAAGAAAATGGGAGCACGAAGGAAATTAATAGATTGATAACTTGCGAGTGAAATGTGTCTTTCGTATTTACCTACGTCCTCTGTGAAAAGTGTACGTACGTTTTATTTTGATATCATTCTTCAAACATTCCTTCTGTTTCTCGAGAGCGGGCTGAATGTTCCTCGTAATTTCGATGAAACGTTCGAAAACAGATTGGAACACGCAGTCGGCAATTTTTGCCAACAGCCGCCCGTTATTAAGATAATTCGCAAATATAAAACGCAACCGCGAAATCCGCGCGTCGGCGTTGGCATCGCTTCAAAAATGGAACTTCCCGACACGCGTCGCCGCGTTTGCGTGGGAAATAAATGCTACGAATCGCCATTGACGTGACAGAATTGGAAACGCGAGCTGAATGCACACGTGGGAATTCGTTTCCAATACGAGAACGACAACGAGAGGGGATATTCTTAGAGAGAAATCGTTGCGAATCGCGAGAGAAAAACGGGACAGTTTGAACGTAAATTCCCATTAAACTTCCCCTTTGTCTGAATTTCTTCTCGTTCTCAAGCGTCGATTGAACTTCGATTTCGTTTCTTAAAACTGTTACTCTCCAAACTCTCATTCGAACGATTTTAATGGACGGTTAGCGAATTTCGAGAACTCGTAACTCGCAGAGCTCGAGTGCTTGGAACATTTAGAATTTTCAATCGAACGAAATGTTTTAACTAAGGAAAAAAATTTCGATTCTATTTGAATGTGAAACGTTGAACGCAGACTCGGTCTGTCGGACTTTCGTGACAGAAAGAGATTTCGTTCGATGCCTCGAGACGCGTTTAAGCAAAGAAATAAAATCTAAAGCCAGTGAGAAACGAAATGTTCGTTATTATTATGTCGGATGGACGTGGTACGTGCTCTCAACTATGTTTAGCCTGGACAGTGGAGCGGAATTTCCACCGCTCACAACCGTGACATCGTGTTTCACCGTGTCTTCGTGGCCAAAGTGACAAACGACGCTTGTCGTTTCAATTAACTTCTGCAAATATCCTTCCACTTGGCACTCGTTGATCGAATAATTTTGGAAGTCTATAAATATCCGTGCCGCTGCGTTTCATTAGCGATCCAATAATGTCCCGGGCTTCCGAAATTACGACTTACACTCTGCGAATTTCGTCTCGAAATAAATTTCATTCTCGACGAAGGTCCTTAATGAAAATATCTTCTTAATGAAGTGGAATCATTGAATTGTATAAAGTTCAAAATTCCAAAAGAGAGAAAAAAAAAAAAGAAAAAAGAGTACAGAGAGAAATTATTTAATTCGACATTTCAGAAAACATCTGACAACGAGTTGCGAGTTAACCTGTGTTCTAATAAATTTCATAACAGTCATAAAATCTCGGATGTTAAAAGTTGCTTATCGCGAGGCAAACTTCGTGATTCGTTATTGACGGCATACGTTTGTTATTTCACAACGTAACAAAAAACAGATGCGACGATAATTGAAAGGAGGATAATTATCCTCGGGCGGGAATGAAAGGAACACAAGGAAAACAAGAGTTTCACATTCGAATGAGCAGAAAACTCTGGCGAAGGAACCGCGATGGCGGATCTGTTGTCCGCAGAAGAGGGTACAAACACGAGCCAATGGTTAAGGAGGTGCAAGGAAATTGCATTGTGAACAAGCACCGAGGTTCGTCCTTTGTTCTCGATGAGGTCCTGTTCGCGAACCTCTCGACAAAAGGATTTTAATGATTCATCCGATAGACCGTGCCTCGCAGTTCCACCGGCTGGACAGCTCCGCTCTGTGATTCCGCTCTTCTTTCGTTAAAGACCTCGAAACGATCGCGCGCGAAATGTCCC